GAATGAGGTCATACAGCTAGTCAATGGCAGAACTAGAACTCTAATCCAAGACCCTAACACCGAGGCTATCTTGTTTTAATTCAGAACTAAGTCAAAAGAAGTACAGATAGGCAACCTAAATGAAGTTTCCTATATAGTACACTTAAAACAGTTTAAAAAAAAAAAAAAAGGGGGTGGGCAGGTAGGGGGGAGAGTCAGAACACAGCCTCAGAGGAGGAGTTCCAAATTAGAAATGGTTTGCTTTTCTGTAAGGAAGAGACTTCAGCATGGAACAATTAAAAAGAGCTGAGATTTCTGAAATATATATATATAAACATATATATATATACATATATATATATGTATGTATTTGTATATATATACACATATATATTTGTATATATTTACATTTATATGTAAATATATATGTATTTGTGTATATATATATTTCAGATATATATGTATATATTTGTATATATAGAGATAATATATATATCATATATGATCTCAAAATAAAGCAAATAGAAGTGATTTGACTAAAATGCTATGCAATAGAGAAAAAGAATTAAATCCAATTGCTGCTAACATTGTTAGTAGAGTGGTATTTAGGAGACATCAAGATGCAAATTCAGAAAATATTAAAGTTGGGAATTATGAGAACTAATAGCCCTGAGCTTCTTCAATAGTTCTGGTTCCAAAATAAGACCTTACAATTAGATTGTGTGTCAATTATAAAAAAATAATAATAATAATCTGCTAAACTACAATATTCCTTTGCTTAGAGTTAAGACAGCATTGCCTATACCAGAGTTTGGAATCTCAAAGATCATCTCAGGAGAAAGCTAAATGCAACAATTGTGTTTCTTTGCAACAGAAACAACTGTAAAATCAGGCTTGGAGCAAAGTGGCCCAGGGGATAGCTGGGTCTTCAGAACACAGCTGTAATAGTCTAATCGGGACACAGATACACGAATTGGCAAACTTACTTTCTATAAAAAAATAAACTTCTTTTCTTTGGCAATGATTTTCTACTGGAATATATATAAGACTAAAGTTTTAGTCTTCTCCCTGTACTCGAGATTCAGAGTCCAAAGAAGGAAGCAACTGGCCTACTTGACATCACTAGCCCTCCTCTTAAGGATAAAATTCCACCTGATATCTAATGAGAAGAAAAAATTTCTCAAAATCTGATGTTTGAAAGGGGAAATGGACACTATAAAGAAAACAGCAGGGGCAGGGGGCAGGCAGCAGATGGCATAGTGGTTAAGGCACTAGATTCCCACATGGCCAATTGCAGTTTGAGTCCTGGATCTGGCAACTCAAAACTCATGCTGGGCACATGTGCATACATGCCCAAATCCCAAGAGGAGATTGGAAAAGAAGGGATTACAGCATGGCCATTCTCCCTGGGGGGGTGACTTCTCACTTCCACTCTCACTGTCTCTTTCTCCATCGAGTGCACATGCCCTATGGCAAAAACCTTAAAAAGAAAAGTAAGAAAAGGAAAGAAAAAAGAAAATAGCAGTATATAATGCTGTCCTTGAAACCCTTAGCACTTGGACAAGGAGCACTTCTGCCTCTTCCCAATGAGAAATTTTATGTGCAAAAATGTTCAGTGTGGGCTGGCCTCATTGTGCAATGTTTAAGCACTGTGGATAAGGAGCTGGATTCCATATGGCCAACCACAGTTCAAGTCTCAGTCTCGGTGGCTTGAAAAACATGCCAGGGGCATGTGCGTGTGTGCCCAAAATTCTACATAGGGGAGTGGTGAGGGGAGATTGCAGCATGACCTCGCCCCATGAGGGTGCTTTGTCTTGCTCTGGTGAGGCCATGTACCCTCTGGCAATTAAAAAAAAAAAGTGCCAAATGTGCAGCTGGATGGTGGCATAGCTGTAAAACTTCACACTCTGTGAGCCTAACCCACACAGGAAGGTTCTAGGTTTGAGTCTGGAGACCTGAGTATAACAGGCACATGCCTAAGGAGCTGGCTAAAGCTAGGGTGGAACATGGTGTCAAGACCTTTTGTGGGGTGCTGTCTCTTTGTCTCTGTCTCTTTCTGCCTCTTTCATTCATGGAAGAAATAAATTAATAAACTTTTTTTAAAAAGATGATGAATATACAACTGGTGGACTTGTAAATGGACTAAGAGTAATGACATAGCTAGATGATGACTGCTATAATTGAATCAGAGATAGAAAATCAAGGACATCCTAAATTGGTTCTAGGTGCAATCCTTTAAAGTAAACCTATGGTATAACGTGGGGAAAGAAACAATGGACTTTGAAGTCAAATAACCAATATAAGAAAATGAAAGAAAGAAATTTCCACAATCAAGAAAAAAGCTACGGGGACCAGCAGTAATGGCTGTCACTGAACTCCCACGTAGTTGACCGCAGTTGAAGTCCTGGACCTGGTGGCTTAAACTCACACCAGGCACGTGTGTGTGCGTGCCCAAGATCCTGAGAGGAGGATGGAGGAGAAGGGATTGCGGCATGGCCATCCCCCCCCGGGGGGGGGGCGATTTCTCATTTTCTGTCTGTCTCTCTCTGTCTTTCTGGTGAGCGCACACGACCTATAGCCAAAACCTCTCCAAAAAATGAAAAGAAAGGAAAAAAGCTAGTCATCTCATTTAAAAGCTAATAGATTATTCATTTTTTAAGAGAGATTTTTGCTATAGGGCACGTGAGCTCACCAGGGAGACAGAAAGCAAGAAATCACCCCTCAGGAAGGATAGCCACACTGCAACCCCTTCTCCTCAGTTTTTGTCTCAGAATTTTGTGTTTACCCCAGTGTGAGTTTTAGGCTACCAGGTCCGGAACCCAAATTGCAGTCAACTACATGGGAGTTCACCAAGGAAACCATTATACCATCTGCTGGTCACCAAAAAACTAACAGGTTATCATCAAAAGTTTGTAACCCTTATTCATGACAAAAAGTTGGCCCACCATTAATTGTCTTGAAATAAAACAGGCACCTGATATGATTATCTAGATCCACAAGGTCAAGAAACTTTGGAAAAACTGAAACAGAGTATGAATTATTTAAGAGTTCTGAGGAGACCTGGGCTTTTCAAACCCTTTAATAGTATCAGATGACACATCCATTACTGATTTGGGGATTATTTTATTACAAGATCATGATAATGTAAAACATTCTGTAATATGCTCTAGTACAAAATGATTGCCAAGGGAAAGTAGTTTATTTGTCTTCTTTAAAGAAGGAAAGTTTGACAATTATTTGAGCTATAACATCATTGTTTAGGAGAGAACCCTGAGGACCAATCATTAAACCTTAACACTCAGATAAAATCTAACACTGAGGAGCAGAGGTGGCTGCAGAAGATTGAGGACTTCTAAAATATTGAACATGTTCCTAGTTGTTGACAATCCTTGTGGAGGACCCCTCGTAAAAAGTAGAGCTTCACATGCATTTCATGAGCATTTCCTGATATCATACTCATAATTTCCATTTTTTTCTTTTTTTAAGTGTATTTCTTTCTATCTTCCATGGGAGAGAGATAGACACCCCTAATAGGGTCTGTATACCACAAACCATCTCTAGCCTCCACCAGCCTAGATTAAGGACACACACACATAGCACATCCAGGGAGGCCCCCCGGAAACAAACTCAGGGCCTTCCCGTCTGAGTTCAGATGTATTACTGCTATACCATCATCTGGCCCTCATAATTTTTCTTAGGTTAAAATTGTTTCATTAAGGGTCAGCTCTGTGGTGCTGTGGTAATGCACTGCTTAAGAGAAACCAGATCCCACTGGACAACTGTGGTTTGAATCCCTAGCCTAGTCAGCCTGAAATACACTGGGGGTCGGGGGGTGGGGGGGAGAATACCATATTAGCATAATGTCATACCATTGTGCAGATGAGGCCCTCTAAAAGCTAATGGTCTCTGACCTCAGCTAGAATTCATGACACTGGCCAGTCCTGCTTGCAATCACCTTCCTCATCTTCCTCATCCATTCTTCTCCATTGTCCAATCACCTTCTGTCTCCCCAGTCCAACTATCTACTCTCACCATTCAGTGTTGACACATAACCTTGTCTCCACTATATTGGAGTATAGCGGTAAGAAGACATCAGCTCAACTTCCTGCCTCTACACAACAAATTTTTTATATCTATACCTGTCCATTCCGCCTTCCCTTTTGTTTGAAAGGACGTGGTGTTTCCCCTGCAGCCCACCCTTCACTGAAGAGGAATCCCTTCGTCTGTGTTCTCAATCTTATCCTCTTTCCTGTCCTATAGGACTCAATTTATGTATTAACTTCTCTCTCTCATCTCTTCACTTGCTCTTTTTGTTCTGGCTCTTCATCTTTAGCATACTAATATGTTAAATTTTCTCTCATAAACCCCTCAGAGCTCTACATCCTTCCCCCAGCTTTGATTTTTTTTTTCCTTTCCTTAACAGCCAAGCTACTTGCAGCATTATTTTCTGTCTTTAGGTGCTATTCACTCAGGCAATGCAATCAAACTTTAGTAGGTCATACACAGGGGCAAAAAGAAAGAAGATCTCTAACTTGAAATGTGATTGCTATCAGGAAGTTAACTCTAAAATCAACATACAATGAATCGACAAGAATACAGAATAATTTCCAGGCCAAAGTGAGACCTGATTAAAGGTATCAATAAGGGCTCAGGCCACAAATTAGCAGTATCCATGAGAGAAAGAAGGGACCTTAGCCAAGAAGCTTTAAGCATTTTAATTCTATAGGAATTCCATAAGGAATGCACTAGGCTGGCACAGTGTCACTCCAATTCTATTACTCCCCTCCTGTAGAGTCCTGATTTTATTTGACTTTCCATGTAGGTTGCCCCTGGAGAGACAGAATCTCTCATTTCAGGAGAGTTCAAAACTGGAGAAACAGATTAGCCCCCTGCTCAGTCAGGACTACATATAGTGAACCTGAAAGTTGTTCATAATTGAATATTAAAAGCAATAAGCAAGATAAATCACTCATTTTAACAAAAGCTATATATCAATATTAAAAGAAGAAATGAAATATTACCATCAAAAAGTTCCATGACGATGCAGAGGTCGTATCATTCTCAAATATTAAAAGAGCTTTTTGCATTAAGTAAATAGCTTTGGATAGTTTATTCTTCTTTATTTTATTCATTACACTTAATTCTACAAAAGCAAACAAATATTTTACCAAATAGGCAAGATAAAAAATTTCTTTCACATTTTTTAGAAATACAGGTCGTCTAATTATAATTACCTGTAAAACAATCAGTGCCTCCAGATTGTTTTAACTTGTCAGAACCTTTAGTAGAAATACTCTTGCTAACAGTTAGAGACTGCAAAACTGAAAACGAAGAAGAAAATTGTCATTACAATTAGGTTTGTGTCCAAGAGAGGAAATATTTTTAAACATTAAAGAGTAACTATCTCTTAGTAAAATTATTGCTTCATCTTTTTTTATTAATAGATAAAACTTAAATCTACTATGATGCAGTTTTGTTTTCAAATCCTTCCATTTGCTGCAGTATACTTTGACACAAAATAATTTCCAAATTATAAAAATACTTGATTTTCTTTTTTTATTTCATTTTATTCATTGTCATTATTTTTTTTTCTAAATTAACCAGAGAGAGACAGTGAGAAAGAAGGAAAGTGAGAAAGCAAGCTGCCCGGTCTGGGACTTGAGCCACAGACAACTATGTAGGAGTCCAGCCCCCTTAACCACCAGGCTACCTGCCAAAAAACCATGTAGGAGTCCAGCCCCCTTAACCACAATGCTACCTGCCAACCTCAAAATACTTGATTTTCTATTTCATCTTTAAAAAATCATTCTGAAGGATGATAAAAAGGGCCCCACCTACTTTTGTTTATCTCTTTATAAAATACAGATGTCAAGTCTTGATACCAACCAGCTGTCAAAAACTCTGTCCTCAGCCCTTTCTAGAAAGACTTTTTCATCCATGATCCCTGCAAGAGTTCTGGGGACTTCTAGCTCAGACTGATGATATCAGGGCCTCTCTCAAGATATTCAACTAAAACACAAATTGCCACCAGTTGTTGATTCTATTGTACAATTAGGACTGATCACAGTAGTTTAGTAAAGAGTGGAGCCTAGATAAGGAAAAGAGGACAAATCTATGCTGGCCCAGAAAGATGAAAACGGTAGCACTGATTCTTGATTTTCAGGTATGGTCCCCAAGAGAGCTGGCAATACTGTGTTTTATGCTAACTAATGTGGTATGTGGTATGTGAGGGTGACCTTACAATAATTCCCTTTTGTTGAATTTTAATTATTTGTGCTAATGTACATGAGTCACCATGGGATGGTGACTGACTGATGAAAAGATGTCAAAAGACACCATTAAAGGATATGAGGATTTCCCAAGTGGCAGAAGATAAGGAAACCTATCTGCATGGAGATAGCAATACAAAGCAAAAAATAATGCATCATCCTCTCAACACCTAGAGTATTATAAATGCTAATTAAGCTCTCTTGATTATAGTCTTCGGAGATAGCAAGGATGAGATTGCAAGAAAACTCTGAATGCCAGATACAGATGAGTCATATTTAATGCTATGGTCATTGACAGGCAACCATTACAAAGTTATTGAGTAAGAATGGCAAAAGCATTGGCAAAAATATTTAGGGAACATTAGTCAGCAGCAGCATAATAGCATGAGGAAAGACAGGAGGAACAAAGTGATCATCTGTGCTAGGATGACAGTTCAACAGAGCAGAGGAAAAAACCTATGAGAAACAGCTAATGCAAAGGAGAAATAAGTAATTTCATTAAGATTTGAACTCAAGCCTATCATTAATATCTTCTTCTTTCCATAAGAGAAAAAGAAAGAGGTATTTTTGACAAGGTCTCACCATGTCACAATTCTCCTGCCTTAGACTCCCAATTAGTTAAGATTACAGGTCAGTCCCCATGCCCAGCCCATTTCCAGGAACCAAACCCAGGCCTCCCACATGGCCCCAGCCTCACACAGCCAATACCCTACTGTCTGCACCATCACAACTGGACCTACTATCAATATCTTTCACTGGTCTCTTATAAAAACTCATTTGACCTCCAAAAATTTATAGATGACAATTAGGCCACAAACTAGTAACTCTGAGTATCTAAGGCCTTAACCCCCTACTAAATAAGATAACACAGCTACTAAGTAAAAAAATCATGGATTAGCCTAACAAGTGGTGTGGTAGTTAAAGCACCAGATCCCACATGGCTGACCCAGCAGTTCCAGTCCCAGACCTAGCAGCTTGAAAAACTCCAGATGCATGTATGTGCATGCCCGAAATCTAGAGAGAAGGGAATGGGGGATTGCACCATGGCCATTCTCTGGATGGTGATTTCTCACTTTCCCCCTCTCACTGTCTCTCTCCGATGAGCACACACTCCCTATGGCAACAAATCTTAAACCTCTTCCCCCAAAAAAAGGAGGGGAGCTAGTTTCTTAAAGCAAATGTGACATGAAAATCCTATCAACATTTGGAAGTAAATTTCTGAGCCAAATCTCTTCAAGAGTATTATGCTAAGTAACCTCTTTTGTGTATTAAAATAACTTTATTGGGAATAGCAGGTAGCAGGGCTGTTAAGGCACTGGATTCCCCATGATTGAGTATGATTTGAGTGCCAGACCCAGTGGCTTGAAAATCACACCAAGCACATATGTGTGCATGCCCAAGACCCTGAGAGGAAAATGGAGGAGTAAGAGATTGTAGAGTGGCCATTACCCCAGGGGAGAAGATTTCTCATTCTCCCTTCTCTCTATCTCCCTCTCTCTCTCTGGCAAGTGCATGCACCCTATGCCAAAAAATAATTTTAAAAAGCAAAAAAAGTATCGTGTTCAATCTATAGATGATAATGCAAATACACTTTAAATATTTCTAAATAATTAATAATTATATTAGTTATTTAACATGCAGTGAGTTGTATGAGAAACAGTTCTGAAAACTATAAAATGAGGGACCAGGAGGTGGTGTTAAGGTTCTGAACTCCCACATGGCCAACCATGGTTCAAGTCTCAGACCTGGAGGCTTGCTTTCTCACTCTGCCTCCCTCTTTCTCTCTGTCTGTCTCTCTGATAAGTATATGTGTGCTATACCAAATAAAATAAATAAATAAATAAACATTTTAAAAACAAAAAAAATACTAGAAGATGAAAACTGCAAAGAAAAAAGACAAAGAAAATTTTCTATAAAAAGAATATAAATGCAAATAAATTACCATGAGTAGCTATCAACTTGGAAACATAGCCATAAAAAATAGAATTAATTCGGGACCAGCAGTTGGTGTAGTGGCTGTCGCTGGACTCCCATGAGTCCCAGATCTGATGGCTTAAACTTGAGTCCCAGATCTGATGGCTTAAACTCATACCAGGTGTGTGTGTGTGTGCGTGCCCAGGATCCCAAGAGGAGGATGGAGAAGAAGGGACTGTGGCGTGGCCATCCCCCCAGGGGGTGATTAATCGCTTTCTGTTTCTCTGTCTCTCTCCTGTCTTTCTGGTGACTGTACACGTCCTATAGCAAAAACCTCTCCAAAAAACATATATTTTTTTTAAAAAAGAAGAAAATAGAATTAATTCAAGTAAATTTGAACACAGTTTTCTGTGTGATATTTTCTATAAACAAAATGAACAGCAAGGAAATTCTTAACTTAGCGGGGTTTGTTGTAAATAGCAGTTACTGGTTTAATCATTCTGAAAGTACTTAATTTAATTTAGTAGGATAAAGCAAGTAAATAGTTACATTGATTTTGTTGGGAACCAGAATTCACAATATGGGAGAAGGAAAATACAAAAATGAAATGAAGAAAGTAAGAAAGAACCCATTGGTTTTGGGCTTGGAATTGGAGATACCATAATGAACTTGAAAGGAGCTAGTTGATATTGTAATAACAATAAATACTCCTAGCTCACAGATCTTGGTTTCTAAATACCACTCTACCAAAAGGAACCAGGGACCCTTGGAAAAGTGGCTGATTCCAGGTCTGGAGTAGAGAACCTATAAGACATGTCTAGAATATTTTGCTGTGCAGAAAGGAAAACATGTCTCAAAAAACCATGGATACATATTAAAAACATAGAATTCAGTTTGAAAGACCTCTCCCACATTGGTAAAATTTGTGACTTTGAGCATCAGAAAAACAAATTCAGTAACTGATCATAAAAGATTTGATAAAAAGTAATCCAATCGATACCATTACACAAAAAAAGTAAAAGGGGCACAGTAGAGGGACAGATCTTTTTTTCAAAAGAATGACAGCAATAAATGTGGCAGTAATAATCCAACTGAAAATAAACATGTACAACTATTGTAATCATTGATTCAAGAAGGATCACCAGCGGAAGCTAAAATCAAATTGTATATGTTAATTATTTTTAGAACTATAAATTGCAGCCAGACCAAAGATATTACCATCATGAGAAGGGTTCAGCTGGTTATTAAGCAAATGAATGCCAGCAGTCTCTAGAAAGGGCGAGAAAATGGGTTCTTCCTTTAAAGCTTCCAGAAGCAGCTTTGCTGACATTTTGAGACCCATTTAGACTAAAAATAAGGCAATAAACAACAACCTATGACTCTAACACTCCTGTCAAAGATGTCTCTTTTAAATTTTCAATAACTCCCAGGTTCAAGTATAAACCCCTCCGCCCTTCAGCATTTCACTGTGATCGACTTCTCTCTGGGTTTATCTGCTGTCATTCCCCCACACATACTCATTTCTCCAGTAGTTCCTACACTGCACCATCCAGTGTCTGCTTCCACCTTGCTAAAGGCTATTTTTTCTATACAAAATGATGAGGTAGAGATCCTTTCTACTTTCTTCATAAAGATAACTCTTAATAGCTTTCTGGTCAACTATCACTCCTTCCAAGAGGTCATCCCTGACTTTCTTAACTGATATAGATATTTCTGTGTGCCCGTAACACTGTGAGCAAACCTCTCTTACATTTGTCAATTTTGACTGTAACAGTTGCTTACTCATCTAGACACTCAAAAGGGAAAGCTGCCTGATTTTTACCAAGCCCAATATGGTGTCTGGATTTGGGTAGATACTCAATAAGTGTTTGCTCAAGTCAATGAACAAAATACCAATAACTTCCTCTAATTTAAAAAAAAAAAACATAATTTACTAAACATTTTCAGACATTTACAGGGGCTAGTTGGTGTCATGGTGGTTAAGGCAGCTGGATCCTACATGGCCAACTCTGCAGTGTGAGTCCCAGACACAGGTTTATAAAACATGTGGGGCACATGTGTGGATGTGCCTAAAATCCTGAGAGGAGCATGAATGAGAAGGGATCGTGACATGGCCATTCTCCCTGGGGAGTATTTTTTCACTTTTTTTCTCTTCTCTCTCCGTCTCTCTCTTCAGTGAGTATACACACTCTATAGAAAAAAAAATTTTAATCTAATATACAAGATGTAAAGCAATCAGGAGAAGTGCCTATTGGTATTGAGCAAGAAAAAACTAAATACAATAAAATGTACCTGGAAAACAGTCAACAAGAACTCAGTTTACAAATTAATTTGGTTCTATACCTGAATGTGGCTGAAAACAGATGCAGAACAATTATTTGCTTTGATGACTATACCTTGCAATTGCTCAAGAAGCACAACAGCTATTCGATGCTGAGCCTGAATCAGTTCAAGATGCAAATCCATCATAAAACTATTTGCTGTGACTGGTTTGTAAGTTTCTCCATCTATGTCATTGGTAGTTTGCTTTGGTCCAGTACAATTGAAGTAAAAATAAAAAGAAATGGTTATCAAAACAAGCTAAACTTTTATCCTATGACCACTCAAGTTATCATGATATTATTCATTGTCTAAATTCTGCTCATTTTCAGCTCTTTGCAATTGGTTTACACACTATTAAATATACTCTTGAAATTCAACACTATCCTTCTTCACCGACAAATACAGAGACTACCCACTTCTCTTGATTTTTTTCTTGTAAGAGGGGAATATATTTCCAGCCTAGGAAAAGAATGCCATCACAAATCTTGCTTTACTCATCTATTTGTCAGCCCAACCCCCTTCCTAGTCAAGTAAGACTTCAACCAAATATGAGATTATTCCATTCATACCTTAGTATAGCAGTGGTCAATTACTGATGATCCGTTTGGCAAAGCAGTTAACATGCAGTTCAAATTTATTCCACTAATTGCTTTGTCAAGAAGTTCATAAGCAAAAAATAACTGTTCCACAGGAGTTTTCTAAAATAATGTTATGAATAAAAAAGAAAAACTTAAGGGAAAAAATCACATATAACTTTTAAATAATAATTCAAAACCAAATAATAGAAATATATTCTAACATTAATAAAGCTGAAACTGCTGTTCTTAAAATCTTTTAAAATTACACTTAAAAAATAAATAAATAAATAAATAAAAAGCATACCTATTTAATGACAGCAGTAAGTTACATAGCCTCAGGTAGGTGCTACTTTATAGTATGTTCATTCTGCTCACTGAGTTTTATGCCTAAAGTCAGACATGTGTTAATATATATGTTTATATCAACTGTACTCACTATTGAAAGTATTTAGTTTAATTAAGATCTTTTCTGAATCCATAAAATGTGGGAAAAAAAGCAACAACATGGAAACCAACTGTAAATACCAGAGACAGTGTGGGAGGAGGGTGGAAAATGGGAGAGGGTGAGAGAGAGGGAATCAAGGGGTGGAGTGGGGGGAGAAGTAAAATATATAGAAACAAGAAATGGAAAATTGTTTGTGGAAGATAACAGGTATGGTAATATCTTTGATTGAGTCAATATACAGTGTATTCTGGATGAGAAAACTCAGTTTATATGCTTCAATAATATACAGCAAATGCATGTAAAATAAATAAATTTAAAAGATAAATAAATCAATAAAATAATTCTTATAGGAAGACAAATATACAGAATGATGAAAAGAACAATCAGCACTGTTTACAGTTTAAATTTTCCATATGTCTTCCAGAACTTTTTAGGAGATAAGAAATACAAATACATATTTATAGGTGAAGTCTCTTGTGTACTTTCACACAATGCCATTCTTCCTCTCTGTCCCTAAAGGTACCAGTGTTCTTAATTTTAAGAATCTGCTTTTGCAGGTTCTTAAGCTCTTACTACATATGTGTGTCCTTAACAGTTATATATAATATCGCTTTGTATATTTTTTAATTCTCCCTTATAAAATTCTGCAGACTGCTTTTTCATACTACTGTATGTTGTTGAAACTTTCCCATGCAGGTATATGTAACTCAATGAGTCAGTTAGGGTTGAGTTATGAACACAGAATTACTCTAGATACCCCAAGCAGAGAGGGAATTAATACAACAATTAGAGGTGTCCATCACCATTAGAAGCCTTGGGGGAACAAAATTAAAAAGGCTAGTAGTAGTAAAGGTTTTACTTCATGCAATTCTCAAGAGCTTGCTTAGAAGCCTCTGTGAATCTAAGAATCTAGGAAACAACTGACAACAACCTCAAGCGCCCCACTACACTGAAGCAGGTGAATTTCAAGAGCTTGCTCAGCAGGGTGGTGAATTCACATCTTCCATCTGCCATTGCAGAATAATAACTCTCTCTTCTCTTCTACATTACAAATTTATGCAAATACTCTTCACTAGAAGACTAGCCTAAAACCATATGGAAATGAGACGCTGGAAATATAGTTCTGGTTCCCATCTATAATGAAAAGGTGACCACAGAAAAGGACTGCAATGGTGCCAGGCTGACCCTAGTTCAAGCCAACTGTAGATCATTCATCCTTGTAGCCTATAAAGGAATGCTGTTATTCTGGGAAACACGTCACAATTCATTATCCATTCTTCTGCTGACAGACATTCCGATTGCTATTGCTAAATATGCTGCAATGTGTTATACTTGTCTGTGAATGAAGATAAAATTGATACTTCCTTCATGGTAGTCCTTCTCATGTTTTTCTGCTTCCTTTTTTTAATGTATCTAAGACCCTCAGGATATATAGAACATAAGAATGACAGATATATTTGTGGCTTACATCATTTTTTTTTAAGGACTAGTCTTAATATTTGACCACAGGTATAACATTCATCGAAGGTCTTTAGGTGATATCCTTTATTGGACATGCAAGTTCTCTTCTATTGCTAACTACTAGATGTTATTTTTTAAAAAGACAGTTGTTGCATTTTGTCAAATATTTTTGTTGCATTCCTTTGTTTAGTGCAGTGGTCATGTTTTCTCTTTTTACCTGCTAATATATGTTACGGTATAGATGTCCTAATGCTAAGTCATTTTGGCATTCCTATACACAATTTGATTATATATATCCATTCTAGAGAAAGAAAGGTTGATAGAATAACAGGCTCAGGAAGGTTCCCAAGCAACTCGAGAGGTATAAATTCAAATAACAAACCTGCTTGAGAGCAAACCTAAGGTTATAAATCATTGGAAGACTTTCTCCTATCCACTCCCCATCTTGGTACCCAACTTGAGATATCTACCTATATAAATAGGCAGATTTTTTTTCTAGTCTACTTTCTCCTAGGATGTAATTTTTTGTAGGTTTTAACTTTATGTAGGAGTTTCAGTTCCAATCTTCCCCATCTTTTATGTGCCCAAGCATCATCTCTTGTCCCTGGATGGCTGTTAAAATCCAGGCTTCTGGCCCAGCCTCTGTAGCAGACTTGATAGCATACTGAAGTGCAATGATGAAGTCACATGGTTACCATGAGTTGAATCCCTGAAACACACTGGGCATGATACAAATGCCCAGGATTCAATGACTGGAAAGCTGGAGGACTGAGATCAAGGTATGACCAGACCCTTTGGAGGGTGCTTCTTTCTCTCACTATCTCACTTTATCTTGTGTATGTGCTTGCACACACATGCGCACATGCTCTATAATGAATAAAGAAAAAAATTCTGCTTTAAAACTAAGCTTTGAGACTAGCTGATAGTATAGTAGTGACTCAACTGGACCCATGTAGGAAAGGCCCAGGGTTTCCATCCTGGGACTTCACTGAACACATCCCCATAATACAGACCAACTGGGGGGCTAAAAGAAGAATATGGCATGGGGTCTCTCTCTCTCTCTCTCTCTCTCTCTCTCTCTCTGTCTCTCTTTCTCTCTCTCCCTCTCAAAATAAGTAAATAAACTTTATAAAAATCTAAGCTTCTGTGTAACTGCCCATCCATCTATTACTACACTGGCCCATAAACTTACCATTCTGGTTTTCAGTTCCCTTTCTATTTTGACCTCTGAAGTTCACATTACTTTCTTGTGAGTTCTTTAGTGTATTTATTTAGAGGAATGTCCAACAAGTGACTGTACATCGTCTTGAGAAGAGGGTGAGTTTTTTTCTAATTTAGATAGTAATAGAAACTAAATGGCCTTTAATGTCTTTGTTGTGAAAAAAAAAAAAAAGTCACCTCCTAAGAAATCCCTTTTGTTTGTTGACTTAATTGCCAGAAATTTTCCATCTCATACTAAAAGCTAGCACTTTGTAACTTCCACTGGTATTCTTAATTCCTACCCTGTGACTCTTCAAAGAACAAGTGCAAAATACTAAGACAGTGATTCTCAAACTCTAGTGTCCTTAAGATCTACCCGAGGAACTGCTAAAAACTTCACACCTGAAATTATGATTCAGTACGTCTGGAGTGAGAAATAGAAAGCTGCATGTTTCCTAAGAACCATAAGTGATCCTTAGAAAAACCATTGGCAGACGGCTATTACGCCTCTTCAACCACTTCCATGGGTCAAACTCTCTTCCGAATTTAGGATTTCTCATTCCAGCTCTCTTCAGAAGACACAATACAGCATCAAGAACTCAAACTCATATTCCCTCAAACATCATTAGATGATAAAAACTCATCTTCCAATTTGGAAAAGTACATTTAAAATGAACTCCCCAGTTCTACTGTACATTCACAACAATACTTGACTGATTCCCAATTTCTTAGACCTTATCTATTATAATGAGTTTGACAAGGTACTTTAAAAAGTTCATGGAAAGGCTAGTCCTGTGGCCCAGTAGTTAAAGGAGCCAGAGCCCACATAGCTGACTACACTTCAAATCCTTGTCCACTAGCTTGAAAAATATTCCAGACACATGTGCTTGATGCCCAAAATTTTGACAGGAGGGAGAGTTTCTCCTCTCTCTTTCTCTGCACATGCTCTCTGGCAATTAAAAAAATTCAAGCCACCCTGTGGCATGGTGATTAAGGAAGCTAGATCCCACATGGCTGACTGCACAGTTTGAATTCCAGACCCAATGGCTTGAAAACCACATCAGGCACATGTGTGTGTATGCCCAAAATCCCAAAAGGAGGGAGAGAGAGAGGAGAAAAGATTGCAGAGTAAGTATTTCCCCATGAGGGGATGCTTTCTTACTTTTCCTCTCTGTCTCTCTCTGGCAAATGCATGCAGCCCCTGGCAAAATTTTTAAAATACATATTTCATGGAAAAATAAAGTAGGTGCATGTTTTGGTGTAAAAAACACCTTGGAATTCATGCACACTTCTTTCATAATATTCATTTTTTATGAGCTTCTGAAGACCCCTCAAAGAAGAAATAACACTTTATGTTTTATTTTTTAATTTATCTATTTATTTCTTGTGATTTTCAAGCCATTGGATTCAGGATTGGAACTGCAATCGGCCACACAGGAATCTTGCACATTAACTACCACACGACCTGCTGGCCCAAAATAACACTTTAAATTAGCACTTGTTCTTATATTTCAAAGGGCTGTCACATAAAAAAAAAAAAAGTAGGAAATGACTGCACTGTATTAAAGATAAGCTAAAGTTATTTATAGCTATGTATTAGAAAAATAACCTTTTTTATTAAGTATTTGCCACAGGGCAGGTGTGCTGACTAGAGACAGACAGTGAGAGAGAAAGTGAGAAATCACCCCTTAGGGAGGATGACCACACCACAATCCCTTCTCCTCCATTCTCCTCCATGCCCAGCAGGATTTCAAGCTGTCAGGGTCCAGGACTCGAACCACAATCAACCATGTAAGAGTTCAGCACCTTAACCACCACACTAACTGCCAGCCCCAGAAAAATATATTTTATAAAAAAATAGCTTCAAGACTTCTTTTTTAATCAAGAGCAACACAGGATAGTGGCTAAAAACCCAAACTTTGAAGGTAAAACACCTAGGTTCAAATGCCTGCTTTTACCACTTACTATGAGACTGAGCAAATTGGGTGTAGTAGTAAAAATGAACACTATGGGTATGTGAATCAACTTCAGTGACTCTCATAAACACAATGCTAAAAGTAAAAAGCAAGCTGAAGAATAAACATAGTACAACACTACTTACATGAATTTTAAACAGGCAAAACATTACTCCAGGCTGCCTAAGAATGCCTGCTTCTGTGCTCAGCTTGGTAGCACAGTTAGTAACAAAGTAAACTGCAGTGCTGGAAGCCACGTGGCCAACAGTGGGTTCAGACACCTGAGATTTATCATCACCGGCATTTAGGACACCAGTTACTCAAGGGTGGGGAGAATTGGAGGGTTAGGGGGTAGAGGGCAACGTAATGTGCTCAGGAGAAATTAGTGGAGGTGAGTTCCGTCTGGACTAGTAATATTTTGTTTCTTAAACTAGCAGATGAGAAAATGAGTCTTTATTACAAGCCCAATTTTAGGTCATATAGTTCAAGTGGAGTTTTCAAAGAAAATATGGTAATTATGAGGATTAACATTTAGCAACAGGGAAAGATTTATGAAATAATATTAAGAAAAGGCATCGGAGGCCAGCCTGTGGCCTGGTGGTGAAGGTGGCTGAATCTCACACAGCAAACTGCTGGTTCAATACCCAGACGCAGTGACTTGAAATCACACTGGCTGCATGTGCACGTGTGCCCAAAATCATGAAAAGAGTGATAAATGAAAAAGAAAGGACTGTGGCATGACCATGCCCCAGGGAGGGTGCTTTTTCATGTTCTCCTCTCTTCTCTCTCTCTCTCTCTCTCTCTGTCCCTCTCTGGTGAACACATGAGTCCTCTGACAAATTTTTAAAAAGAAAAAAACATCAGAATGCTATTATGCTTTATAAAAGTAAAAGAAACCAGAAGAAAGAAAACTATCTAAATCAGTATACAAAAATTACAGATCTTTTTCATTTTTTATATCTTAAAACATCCTCAAATGTTGGGAACCAGCAGTTAGCATAATGGCTATGTCGCTGGACTCCCACGTAGTCGACCGTGGTCCGTGTCCCGGACCCGGTGGCTTAAAACTCACGCCGGGCACGTGTGCGTGCGTGCCCAAGATCCCGAGAGGAGAATGGAGGAGAAGGGACTGCGGCGCGACCATCCCCCCTGGGGGGTGATTTCTCGCTTTCTGTCTCTAATGTCTCTCTCTGTCTGTCTGGCGAGTGCACGCGCCCTACAGTGAAAATCTCTCCAAAAAAAAAAAAAAACACATCCTCAAATGTTAATACTACTTTTGTAATTTAAAATTATAGTTTATGAATTAAATCAGACGAGCCAAAATACAGAGTTTCCTGCCTTCCTCTCTGAAAAAGTATTTTTCAACTGTGGTCCATGAAACAACAGTATCCTAAGTAGGTATTCCATAGTAGGTTAAAGGGAATTTATTCTCAAATAGTGAAACATACAGTGTTCTCTATCAGCTCATTGGAAAATTACAACGCTCACAAACAAATAAATGCCTCTGAGAGGTATCATAGTAAAAAAAAAAAAAAAACCTATTGTGTTTAACCCAGCATCGCCCAGGGTTTCCTGACCATGACATGCTTTCCCGAAGGAGAGCACCAGCATCACATAGGACAGAGATTGAAACCTGCTGCTCTTGATTTTGCCTGTAAATAAATGAATGTTGTTATCTGTGTGAGGCAGTTCCCCAGACTCTATTCATATCTGTACACAACCCACACTGTACAGAAATAATTCAAATATCATAAGCACAATAAAGATGACTAGCCAATTATTTTCCCCTCTCCTTTTTTGCTCTTAAGTAATGCTCACTGAGAACTTTCTACACACCAGAGACTGTTCTAAGTACATTCTAAACAGGTAAGGAACAATTTACTCCGAGTAAATATGCTAAGTAGGACATCCTTTATAGATAAGCCTATGAATCCCAAAACATCCAAAATGTCAGTAATAACGAAAGTATAAATCCTTTCGAGATACTTTACCTTATTGTTTTTAAAGAATTATTTTATTTATCTTTATTTATTTTTTTTAATTTGACCAGCAAGGGACAGGATAAGAGAGAGAGAGAGAGTGAGAAAGCAAACCACCAGGTCAGGGACCTGAACTGCAGTCGGCCCTGTGGGAGTCCAGCACCCTTAATCACCACGCCACCTGCTGGCCCCACATTACCTTATTTTTAAGCTGATAGGATTTTTTTTCAGAGAAAAAACAAAAGGTATAAGAATGTTCTTGTAAATCATAATTTATGTAGAAACCATAAATTCTTAAATTCTAAATATTCAAAATCATTTCTACAATTAACTGTTATACATTTACATTCTTGATATTATTTTTAAATTAAAATTCATCTTTTAAACTGTATTTTCTAAAATGTGTTGTAATACCTTTAATATTGGAAGAATTTCTGAAATCCCTTTTGGAGTCCCAAAGAATTCATCAGTCCCTTTTCTTAAAATTATATCTGAAAAAAGAAAGAAAAAACAGTGCAAGAGAAAAAAAAAAAAAAGGGAGGGAGGGAGAAGAAAGAGAAGAAGAAAATTAAGAAAATACAGTTAGAAGAAGAGTAAAGAGGAGAGAGGACAAAACATGCAGAAAGAAGGAAGGACCAGAGGAAGGAAAAGGAGGAAAGAGAAAAACAGAAATGTAGCAATGAATTATCATTTTTCAAACATGATTATAGTTATTTTTAATTACTCATGATAAAAAAAAAAGACTTTACCAAAAAAGCTTTCAGTGTTTTTTAATATTTGACTAAATAAATTGTTTCTGTTCGGTAATTATTTTTTTTCTTTATACAAGCCAATTTAAAAGCATCTTGCAATACAGCATACTAACTATTGGGTCATCAGAAAAGTCATGACACATTTTTCTATGTTTTTCTATGCAAAAATGTGTCATGACTTTCCCTACCACCCAATAAATAAATGATCTTTTATCAACAAGATTATATCATGGTAAAGAGATTGATCTACAAAGTCCACTTAAAAGCATTCAGGGACCAGCAGAGTCTGACGTGGTCAACCATGGTTTGAGTCCTGGACTCGACAGCTTAAAACTCACCCCAGACAAGTGTGCATGTGTGCCAAAAATCCCAAGAGGAGAATGGAGGAGAAGCAACTGTGGCATGGCCATTCCCCCAGGGAGGCAATTTCTTACTTTTTGTCTGTCTTTCCAGGGAGCGCACACAGCCTACAGTAAAAAATCTCTCTAAAAAAAAAAATAATTAAAAAAAAAGCATTCAAAAAATAATAGCATAGAAGCCTTATGAACTTGGAAAAATATCAGAGAAAGCTAGTTTGATTCAGTGAAATATAAATTATAAATATTTATATGGCAATGTTAGCTTCCTATCTTAAAAGGTATTTAATAATTCAAACTAAACAATGTATTACTTAATAAACAGACTAATAAACATCTTGAGGCAGATTGTCATAACTAACATAGAAAAATGACTGGTATTTTGTTTTATGTGCCAATAAGGTAATGAAAATAACATTTCTAGAAACGTTGTAAGAATTTATACCTCTAAATAGGGACAACCTCTACGACATAATATAGAAGTTTTAAGTCTGAAAATGAATTATGCTCCAATACTGACTAGTTCATTAGAAATGAAATAGTTAAACAAAGAATCAATACCTTGCATTGTATTTAGCATACTAATATTTATACAGGATAAAGTAACAGTTTCTCAAAAGTAACTAGTAAACAGAACAATAAAATTGGATAAGAGGCTTTTTCTTTCATTTTTTTCTTTTTTCCTTTTCTTTTTTATTTTTGGAGAGGTTTTTGCTATAGGGTACATGAGCTCACCAGAAAAAAGAGAGACAGAAAGTGAGAAATCACCAACCCTCCATTCTCCTCCCTGGATCTTAGACACACACGCCTAGTTTAAGCCACAGGGTCCGGGACTTGAACCATGGTCACCTACATGGCAGTCTAGCGACATGGTCATTATGCCATCTGCTGGTTCCTACAAGACTTTTCTAAAAAGTAATCATTGGACCTTGTGTTTCTAGTAATAGTAATAGGTAATCTAGAAAAGTTCTCCCAGAAGGAGAAAAGACAGAAAATGCTTTTTCTTTTTCATTCTTTTCTTTCCTTTTTTTTTTTTTGGGGGGGGGGCGGGGGGGCAGCTAAGATAGTGATAAAAATAAATAAATAAATATGGGGCCAAGATCTTGGGAAGGAAGGCCAGAGGTTATAGAATGGCATTTCAGCTTTTTCCACTGGGAGATTATGTCAATTTGAGAGAGAAGCTGAGAAGCTGAGTAAAATTTTTGACAGCTTTAACGGGTGAAAGCAATTGGGATTAGTATCCAGGACCCACCAATGATGAGAAGCCAAAACGGGCTGCCTCCTAAAAGCACTAAAATGAACTGATAGTAGATCTTCAAAGAAAAGGCATCTCAGCTTCAAAATATCTTACTGTCTCAAATTGGAGTGACAGAATTCTACAGTTTTAGTGCTTTCACATAAATTGTAAAAGCAAGAATTAATCTTCTCTAGAAGAAAACATCATCAAAGGCCCAATGATTTCTACAAAATACTTAGCAAATACAATGTCCATCACATACTCAAAAATAATTAGGGTCACATAACAGATGATGAGTTAAGTTCTTCATCAAAGAATTCAACATAATAAATACAAAGGAATGACAGAAGTTAGGAACCTTTCTGGGTTCTCAGCCCTACTCCCTCAATGACAGATGAAAGTTGTACAATGTAATTCTCGATACAATGCAATAGAGAGTTAAAAGCTCCACCTATACAGTATTCTTGCCAAAATATAAGATACTTGTAAGAATTCTTTTTGACACGATAGCACCTGAGTCAAAGTAAGCCTCTAGATCTAGTTAGAGAACAAGTTAATGGGACCAGCAGTCAGTGTAATGGCTATGTCACTAGACTCCCATGCAGTCGACCACGGTTCAAGTCCCAGACCTGGTGGCTTAATCTCATGCCAGGCGTATTTGCATGCGTGCCCAAGATCCCGAGAGGAGAATGGAGGAGAAGGGATTGCAGCGTGGCCATCACCCCTGCGGGGTGATTTCTTGCTTTCTGTCTCTCTCTCTCACTCTGTCTTTCTGGTGAGTGCACATGCCCTATAGCAAAAAGCCTCTTCAAAAAACAAAAAAGAGAAACAGCCTAAGTAATATCATAAGGGGGCAAACAGTCAAACCCAGAATATGAGAAGTCCTACAGGGTAATGACTCAGTTTCCTCCAAAGCTAAATGGCTTGAAAAATGTGAAAAGGGGAAGAACTGCTAGAGACTAGAAAGATTTAAAAGACATATTACAAAAATATAATATGTGGACTTGTTTGGATTCTGATTGGAACAAACCAACTTTAAGAGACATTTTAACACTATTAGGAACATAGGAATTATTACTAATTTTGTAAGGTATAACAATAATGACATTCTAATGTTGTTTAAAAAAAACCCTTTATGTTAGGCAGATATATAGATACACACACAAACACACACACACACACACACACACACACACACACACACAGAGGTGTATTTGCTAGTGAAAAAACATGATATCTGCTTTAAAACACTCCAAGACAGGGAGGAGGTAGGTAATAGAGGAGGAGATGAAACAAGGTTGGGAAGACATTGATAATGATTGGTCTGAATGATGCATACACCATGCCTTAGTTCATCTCTCCATATTTGAAATTCTATATAATAAATATTTTAAAAAGGAAAATGTGCTTTTAGAAAGGGCATTTCAAAAATACAACTTCAGGCCACTGAATGTTAGATGGGCAAATCAGTGGTTCTCAAACTTTGATGTGAATCAAATTCACCTGGGAAGCTAATAAAGACTAGAAAGATCCAGTCTCGCTGAAGTAGGACAGAGCCTGAGCCTTGCGTTTTTAACAAGTTCCCAGATGAGACTGATATCAATCAAAGTTGGAGAACCACAGCTCTAAAACTCCATCTGAAAAATTATACTCAACAACAGAGAACAGGCAGTGCCTGTTTCGTGAGTCTCTGGGAAAGCAATGACTTTATTACAGTCTTCCAAATGCCATCCATACTCTGTAAATGGGGTGAAATGCCCACTGCAACACCCCATCTCACTCTCTACTTGTGCAGGTTAACTGATAGGCCAAGGCTTCAACAGCAGACAGGAAACAGAATGGGAAAGTCAGAGCATAATGCCATTCTATGAGAGAGGGCATCTTCAGGAAGGAAAAATGGTAAAAAAGAGGGGGTGACAGGGAGATTAGAAGAGTGTGTAGGTAATAAAACAAAATAGATCACAAGAAGAAAGGGGTAAAGGGGGAAACAATAAATGAATAAACAAGAATTTTAAGAGGAGGAAATTTAAAAGAGTTCAAGTCCCAGATTCATTGGCTTGAAAAACATGCTGGACACATGTATATGTGTGCCTAAAATCCCAAAAAGAGAATGGAGGAGAAGGGACTGCAGAATGTCCATCCCCTCTACGAGCTGCTTTTTCATTCTCTCCATTTCTCTGGGTCTCTCTTTCTGCCCCTCCAGATAGTGAAGGTGCCCAACAGCAAAAACTACCCAAAAAAAGGAACTAAAAGGCAGAAGGATATTGATCCATTGAGCAGTTAATTATTTGAGCTCCGGCTCTGTGGTGGTTCCAAGAATAGAGCTGAGACCAAGGTATGTTCTCTTCCTTTAAAAAGTGTTCGCTCATTAGAGAGATGAGAAAGAAGGAAATTCGCAGAGAAGAGAAGGGAAAATGAGAGGGGGATAAAGAAAGCATCAAGTAACTAAGGACAGAGAAGAGGAATATATGAGTGAGGCAAAGACTGTGTGGCCTACCATTCGATCATAGACCATATAACCTTTTCTTCCTTTTTTTTTAAGGTTAGTTCATTTCTTTTATTAACTCATAAAAAGTTATGTGTCTTCTGGTTTGTTGAAGCAGTAAGTCCGACAACATTTGCCACAATAATGTGTCATGTCTGTCAAAATGGCTGGCCATAAAAACTCCAGCTCCACATTCATCTGAAGGGCACGCCCAATGAAGGAGACTAATTTTGCCATTTTCATCCACTTACAGTATTTCGGGACAGCTAGCTTAACCTTCTTTTTCTTATGCTTATTCTTCTTAGTAGTGATATAAGACTTCTTTCTTAGCACCATCACGAAGTCTGAGCACAAGCTGAGGCGTGGACTCCTGGACTCCTTTTGGATGTTGTGGTCAGACAAAGTACGTCCATCTTCCAACTGCTTGCCAGCAAAAATCAGTCTTTGCTGATCAGAAATAATTCCTTCCTTATCCTGGATTTTGGCTTTTAGATTTTCTATTGTTCCAACGGTTCAATCTCAAGCGCTTTTACAAAAATCTACATGTTGGTGGCAGTCCCACTGCAGATGGCGGATCAGAAAGCACTTTTCTTGATATCCACTTGCTTAACCCTATATTATTATTTATCTATAATTACAATTTTTTTTCTTTTTTTTTTTTGAGAGGTTTTTGCTATTGGGCACATGCACTCGCCAGAAAGACAGAGAGAGAGAGAGAGAGAGAGAGAGAGAGAGAGAGAGAGAGAGAGAGAGAGAGAGAGAGAGAGAGAGAGAGAGAGAGAAAGCGAGAAATCAACCCCAGGGGGGATGGCCATGCCACAATCCCTTCTCCTCCATTCTCCTCTCGGGATCTTGGGCATGCACGCACACGCACCTGGCATGAGTTTAAGCCACTCGGTCTGGGACTCAAACCGCAGTCAGCTACAGGGGAATTCAGCAACATAGCCATTACGCTAACTGCTGGGTCTCCCTATAATTACAAATGATTAATGAAGCATAAATTGAAACAATAAGCTTCCAGGAACAGAAGTTATCTTGTATTCTAATTGATACTAATGTACTCCTGTGTGTGTGTGTGTGTGTGTGTGTGTGTGTGTGTGTGTGTGTGTATACACACACCTCCTACTTCTTCATCTATTATTTTACCTTGAGATGTTCTAAATTTTCTTTTGGGGTTTCCTAAAGACTCCAATATTTCACTTAATCGTATAGTGACCTCTGAAACCACCACAATGTCAATGTCTTCCATTTTATAGCAGAGAATTACTTCATTTATCTGCCACAGAAGATAAACCCACTAAAAAGAGAAAATACACAGCAAAATCAATTAAAGTATATCACATTGTAGAAAGAGTCACATTTTTCAAAAATTAGTACTTCCTGGAAATCTCCACCTTCTAATCTTATGGAAATGTCATACAGGTACTCCCTCCTTATTAATTCATCTTAATCATTAATAATTAAAGAACAGGGATACTAAAAAATTATATTTAATAATCAATCTGTTTGCATAAATGTATAAAGAAGATTCACTTAAGTTTATAGTCAGCTTATCTCTAAGTGTCATGGTAAAATTATGATCTTTTGGGACCAGTAGATGGTATATTGATTCTGTCACTGGACCCTCACATGGCCGACCGCAGTTCAAGTCCTGGACTCAGCGGCTTCAAATTCACGCTGGGCGCATGTATGTGTGTGCCCAAAATCCCAAGAGAAAAACAGAAGAGAAAGGATTGCAAGGTGGCCATCCCCCCAAGGGGTTATTTCTCTATTTCTCTGTCTCTCTGTGTCTCTCTGATGAGCACACATGCTCTACAGCAAAAATCTCTTTCTAAAAAAGAAACAAACAAAATTGTGACCCATTATTGTCATATATTATTCAATATATTCTGTATCCTCAAAACTTTTCAATCTCCCATTGAAATAGCTATTATGATCACTATCAAAGTGCTCTAAATTAGTGAGGTGTACATAAGCATATCAATCTCCATACCACAAGCCTCAAAAATAGACTTTCTTGCTTACATCCCCAAAGCTTAGTACATAAAACCAACCATCATACTTTGGGACTTACAATGATAAAGTGACATTTATGTTCCATATCATTACCTAACAGAGAATATGATAAAAATCCCACCTATGCATTCTAATGTAGTTAATCTTAGGAGGCTTCAGAATCCCAGAGCAAAAAGGATTTGTACTTGTTACTGCTTTTTTTTTTCTTTTAAATAATTATTTAACTTTATTTATTTATTTATTTTTAATTTGACTAGAGAAGGACAGAGCAAGAGAGAGAGGGGGGTGGGGGGAATGAGTAAGTAAGCCACCAGGTCTGGGACTCAAACTGCAGTTGGCCATGTGGGAGTCCAGCACCCTTAACCACCACGCCACCTGCCAATCCCCCTGTACTTGTTATTTCTAAAGTATTTTCTCCTTAGTTTCCATATTATAATATTTAAATGCCCAACGTTCTCCTTCCCATGAAATAGTCCTTTTAAATAGTCTAAATATATTATTGCAGGGGGAAAACACCCTGAAATTGTCTACTTATTTGTATTCTCTATTATTAATCTTCTTAGTGAATTTATTCAAGGTCATTTTATTTCAGACCCCCTATATTTATTCCTTCCTTAAAAACCTGAAACACTTTTCCGCTTCCCAAAGTAAACACGATTGGGGCACAGTGCAGGGAACACATGTTAAAAGAAAGGCTCGGGGGCCAGCAAGTAATGCGGTGGTTAGGGGCACTGGACTCCCACATGGCGGACCACAGTTCAAGTCCCAGACCTGGTGACTTGCTCTCTCACTTTCCCCGGCTCCCTCTCTCTCTGTCTCTTACTCTGTCCCTCTCTGGTCAAGTTAAAATATATAAAGATAAATAGAACAATTCTTGGAAAAAAAAAAAAGAAAGGCTTATTCAGCACCACAAAGGATACCTTCTTAGTACATAAACATGCAAATGATGGTAGTTATGCAAGTGGGTAAATAAGGAAAATTTCTATTTAAAATGTGTAGCAATGACAAAAACAGAACCATGTAAAAGGAAACAGAAAAGAATACTTTGTTAGTACTAATTTTCTGGGTAAATTTCGCATAGTCATTTCTGGATGTATGGAACCGCTGAATTCCTAATTTGCATTTTTGCCAAAGGAACATTATCATGTCCACGACGATTTCTTTATCAGGCAGAGCATCCTGAAAACAAAAGTGATAAAGTAAATGAATAATAAGAAGCTTATATAGAACACTTACTGTGTGCCAGACAATTCTCCACAAGCTTTACATTTACCAACTCCTTTAATCCCATAATAACCTATGAGACAAGCACTATTACCATCATCCCCACTCTAAGCACCAGCAAATAGAAGCACAAGGAGAGTTTTCCCAAGATGAAATGACTAGAAAATAGCAGATAAATAGATTCAAACTCAAGTAGACCAACTGCAGAGTTCTCTGGCAAGAAATATTCTGTCTTCCTTTTTTTTTTTTAATTTTTTCCCAAGTTTACCCAACCATTTCTTCCATGAACAACAGACACAGAGAAACAGGTACCCTCAATAGGACCTACAGGCCACTATCTACCCCCAGCCCTGGATCATGGGCACACAAATGCATGTCTACCATGCACAGGGAGGTAGTGGGATGAGAACCTAGGACCTGTCCCATGTGGGTCCAGTTGTGTTACCACTGCACCACTGCCTAGTCACTCGGTGCTCCTTTGCCTGTGGAGGGAAAATTAAAAAAAAAAAAAAAAAAAAAAGCTCCAAACATATTTAGGCAAGTGTGTAAGCCAATGAGTCTCATCTAACTTTAATATGGGCGTGTGTGTTGTGTGTGTGTGTACACTTTTCTCTTTTTAAAATTATTTCATTAAAGGGCCTGGAGGTGGTATGATGATTAAGGTGCTGGATTCCCACATGACTGACAGCAGTTCAAGTCCCAGACTTGGCAACTTGAAAATCACACCAGGTGTGCATGCATGCATATACATCTAAAAATCCTAGGAGGAGAATGAAAGCAAAAGGATTACAGTGTAATCATTCCTCCTGGGGGCTGAATTCTCATTTTCCCTCTCCCTCTCTCTGCCTCTCTCCAGCAAGCGTGCACACCCTATGGCAAAAAAATAAAAAAGAAAGAAAGAAAGAAAGAAAGAAAGAAAGAAAGAAAGAAAGAAAGAAAGGAAGGAAGGAAGGAAGGAAGGAAGGAAGGAAGGAAGGAAGGAAGGAAGGAAGGAAGGAAGAAAAAAGAAATTCTTCCATTGAAATAATAAAGGATTGGGAAAAGAGTTCAAGAATTAGTCATTGGACAGGGAGAGAGGAGCTGGGAAGGAAATATACACAAGAAGGGAAGGGAGAAACCAAACAGAACTTCACACTGCACATCATCAATAGATGATCCAGATGAAAATGTTTCTTATTAAATCAAGGTTACTTGACCCTTTCAAAAGAAAGCAAAAGTTACTTATTATAACTGAACTACAAAGGTAATGAGCTTGTGACTAAGATATACAAAACTTTGAGCTCTAAGACATACTTTGCACATAAAGGACTTTAGTACAATGTTCGAGAATATAACAGAGATAATGAATGTTTATTAAATTGACCTAAGCTGAGCTATGACATTTGTGGTTAAAATAAAGCTCCTTGCCTTTAAGCCCTGGTTGTTACTTTTTTGCTTTAGCTGTCCTACTATAATAATTACATTTACTGACAAATACCTTTCTTTTGAAAATGAAATACCTAGCACCAGTTATAACATATTCTAATAAACCCCCCAAAAATAAAAAGTATTATAACAGCAGGACATCTGAAGTCCCTGCTGCCTTTCATTTAAGTGCGCTAAAGTTAATACAATGCTCTATTGTGGTTCTTCAATTCTTCAATCATTTTTTTATAACAATAAAGCCAAATTTTCTAATGAAATTCTATAAGAACCCCAACTAATATATAGAAAATTAATAAAAGCAGGCTAGGGTGTCATTATTCAGAGCTAGGCTCCTGAAAAACCTCAAAGAAGTCCTAGGAATCCCTGGAATTCAGTTTTAAAACCAGTGCCAAGGCTGGCCCTGAACTTAGTGGTTAAGGGAGCCAGATCTCACATGGCTGATTACGGTTCAAATCCCAGCCCCCCGAGGCTTGCAAAACATACCAGCACAAGTGCTTATGTGACCAAAATCCTGATAGGATGGAGAAATGGAGAAGGGATTGTGATGTGACCATGCCCCACTGGGAGGGGTGCTTTCTCCCTTTCTCCCCACCCCACCCCCATTTGTCTGTCTTTGTCTCTCTCTGGCAATTCAAAAAGAAAGAGAGAAGGAGGGAAGGAGGGAAGGAGAGAGGGAGGGAGGGAGGGAGGGAGGAAGGAAGGAAGGAAGGAAGGAAGGAAGGAAGGAAGGAAGGAAGGAAGGAAGGAAGGAAGGATGGATTACTGTACTAGTTTTGCCTGAACACTCATACCTTAGATAAGCCATTTCTAACTACTGGCCATTCTGTGCAAAGTGACATACTAACCAGTACTAACCAGGCTTTGTTCTCATGGACTGAAAAAACAGTAGCTCGCTAAGTATATTAAACTGTTCATTTAAACCACTGCCTCATTTCCTTCATAATTAGAAATACAGCTAGCCTAGGAATTTCCCAAAAACAGAACAGACTGAGAGGCAAAACAACAATTATGAAAAACAACACAAAATTACAAGTCATGATATAATTCAGTCCTGTACTCTGATCAATAAACAATATTTTAGCAAGGTACAACTCCTGTGATATTTTAATCTGGCCTTAAGTTAGGCATAATAACCTCTTTCCACACTATTGAAAATCATCCAGGGGCCAGCAGTCCAGTTAAGGTGCTAGACTCCCACATAGCTGACCATAGTTCAAGTTCCGGATCCAGTGACTTGAAAATCACATGGAGCATATGTATGTGCTTGCCCAAAATCCCTAGAGGAAGATGGTGGAGAAGGGACGGCAGTGTAACTATCACCCTTGGGGGATGATTTCTCACTCTCCCTCTCTCTGTCTCTAACAAACACACTGGGGCTATGGCAAAAACCTAAAAAAAAAAAATCCAAAATTGCAGTTCTACCTGAGGAGAGGCGGAGACACAGTAATATAAAGTTGCTGCCAAATGGAAAATATCTTCTGAATATCCACAGTTCTTCATACAAGTATCTAAATTCATAAAACAGAGGAAAATTAAACAAAAAGAATCAGTTGCAAAATTTCAAATAGAAAAAACACAGAAACACAAATTCTACAAAAGTGCACAGATGTCTGGATAAATATCACGTCAATAAGACAACCTAAATGCTTTTATGTTAAAATGAATCCAAGTGACTCCACTCCAACTGAGATATACTATTATCATGTTGCTGCAATATGTATGCCAACTATGTCCACAAAGAAATCCAAGAAGCTTGTAACATTAAAAGGTATATAAAATATGACAATTGACAGAAAAATAATAAAAATATCTGTTCAGAAACTACTAGAAGACAAATGTTTCATTAGTTGGTACAAATTATTTACTGCAACTCTGAAACTATGTAATGTCCTAAAATGATGGCAAAACATTAAAAAAAAAAAAAGAAATTCGATTAAATTCTCATTGGCCTAAGAAATAGACTCTGTAGATTTTCAATTACATACACAATAACTTTTAAGACTTGAACAATCCTAGAATGAAAAACACTGCTGAAAAACTGGAAAACATGTTGAAAAGAGGCTAGCAAATCTCCCTTACTAAAGTGAACTGATGACCTGCCCTTTGAGTCTCTGCCCTGCTGCTCTCTCACTTACCCCAACAAGCCAGCCGCTAAACAAAGCCTCACCCCTCTGCTCAAAACTGTCACTCAGAGGACCAGCAGTTGGCGTAATGGCTATGTCACTGAACTCCCATGTAGTCGACCACGGTTGGAGTCCCAGACCCGGTGGCTTAAACTCACACCAGGGGCGGGTGCATGCATGCCCAAGGTTCCAAGAAGAGAGTGGAGAAGGGATTGCAGTGTGGTCATCCCCCCTGGGGGTGATTTCTTGCTTTCTGTCTCTCTGTATTTCTCTGTCTTTCTGGTGAGTGCACACGCTCTATAGCAAAAACCTCTTCCAAAAAAAAAAAAAAATTGTCACTCAGGGGACCAGCAGATGGCGTAATGGTTACGCCGCTGGACTTCCACCAGCCTAAAACTCACACTAGGTGCACGTGTGTGTGTGTGTGTGTGTGTGTGTGTGTGTGTGCCTAGGATCCCAGGAGGAGAATGGAGGAGAAAGGATTGCATCGTGGCCATCCCCCCAGGGTGATTTCTTGCTTTATGTCTCTCTGGCAAGCACACACACCCTATAGCAAAAATCTCTCTTAAAAAAAAAAAAAAGAAAAACTGTCATTCAGAATCAAATACAGCATCCTTTCAAAAAAAAAAAAAAAGAAAAACTGTCAAATACAGCATCCTTTCAAGGCTTAAGAACTGCAGTATCTGGTGCCCAGTCATTTCTCTGACCATACTCACAAACTCCACCCCATCAGTATACTCCAGAAACACATGCTCCCTGCCATTCCTTCAATAACCAACCACACTCTTGCCTCAGGACCTTGATATCTCTTGCTCCCTCAACCTTCAGCAGTTTTCCTTTCATTTTACCAGTAAAGAGCATATTTTGGGGGCCAGCAGGCAGCATGGTGGTTAAGGTACTGGACTCCCACAGCTGACCGTATTCAAGTCCCAGGCTTAGCAGGTTGCTTTATCTCTCTCTTTCTCTGTATCTCTCTGGAGAGCACACATTTCTATAGCAAATCAAAAATAATCAAAATAATAGGGGCTGGCAGATTGCATAGTGGTTAAGGCACTGGACTCCCACATGGCCAACTGCAGTTTTCAAGTCCCAGACCAGGTGGCTTGCTTTCTCACTTTCTCTTTCGCTCTCACCAAATTAATTAATTTCTTTTTTAATTAATTAATTTTTAATAAAGAGCATATATGTTATCACATAGAACTATCTTAATGTTTCAAAAAGGAAAATAAATACTCACCCTGAAAAGCAATTTTTTTAAAACAAATTTGAGCTGACTGTCCTTCTTTATAGTTTTCCAATGGAAAGATTAAACCTTTGTTTCTCTTCGTGTTGATTAGTGGTTCTATGGCAATTAGAAGCGTTAAATCCTTCTCTGCTTTCTTTGATGCTGGATCATCCTGATTCTTAGAGAAGTATATCCCGCAAGTTAACACTAGTAATTCAACATCACTTTAACAAAATGAAAGTGAATTAATGGTTTTACCTATATTACCTGGAGAAAATAAATAAGGTGGCCAGCAGATGATTCAAATAAACTCCATTCCTCGTAAGTAAAAGCCAATTTGACAAATTTCACAGCAGCATCCATAGAAATAACATTTTTTCTTTCTACTATAAGTTCCAAAAGAGATGTTTTGGGAAAATTAAGCATCCCATTGGCACCAGTATTTGAAACTAGAAAATAAAAGAAAGGTTTTGTGTCACCATTTATGCAAAGAAATATTTACTACATATTAGCTGTCAGACACTGCCAGGCACTCGGGCAATGATGGAAAAGACAGAGACACAATTACTCCTGTTAGGTTATTATCTATCCATAGGAAATGATAGGATCAGCCATGGGCAAGGTACCACTGCCCAGGACAGATGAAAAGAAACACCAACATTTAACAGAAGGGGAAAGGGTCCAAAGAAGTGTGTTTAGAAAGAAAGAAGTAGTCTGGCCAGCCTGTGGTGGGGCCATTAAGGCAGCTGGATCTCACATGGCCACCTGCATGATTCAAGTCCTGCACCCAGTGGCTTGAAACACATCCCAGATGTATGTGCGCGTGTGCCCAAAATCCTGAAAGGAGGGAGAAATGGAGGAGAGACTGTGGCATGGCCATCCTCCACGGGAGGTGCTTTCTCACTTTTCACCTCCCCTTGACATGTGCAAGCACCCTCTGACAAAAGAAAGACAGAAAGAGGAAGGAAGGGAGGAGAGAAGGAAGGAAGGAAGGAAGGAAGGAAGGAAGGAAGGAAGGAAGGAAGGAAGGAAGGAAGAATGATAACAGACACTACAGGGAGTAAAGGGAAAAAGGACTGAAAAGTGATCCTTGGACTAAGCAATAAGAAGGTTGTCTCTGACACTTGCAAAAGAGTGCTAGGACAAGATACTGTCTAACATATAAGAATAGAATAGGAAATAAAAGCAGACCATTCCTTCCATAAATCTGGTTGTTCTAAGAAGACATGTGGGGAAGAAGCTGAAAAAAGAATATGAGATGAAGAGACCTCTTGGAGAGATTAAGCTTAAAGATGAGAAAAGAAAGGGGAGGAATGTTCTTTCCATTTTAATGAGAAATAGTGGCAAATTTTGAGGTTTAGGTAAAAGAAGAAAATGAGATTCTCATCTGACCACCTATACTCTTATGAAGAGATGAGCTCAAACTGCAGCACCAGAAGTTCTTTGGCTTCACACAGATGTGTGTGTGTGTGTGTGTGTGTGTGTGTGTGTGTGCACATTAAACTCGGTAGAGACAAGATCTCAACTTTTATCCCTCCTCTCAGGTGATCACTGTAGCCAAGTCAGCTGATTGTTCTAAAGCAACAAAATGTAATCTCCTGAAGGAAGCAAGTTAAAAGCACAAATATCTTCAAAGGAAAACCATAAATTGATGCATCCTTTCCCACAGGAAGCAGAAAAGTGGAACAGAATGAACAAGAATCTAAGTACAACAAGGATTCTCTTGGAGAAATGAGAGAAGATTATCTAGAACCACGAAGCAAGACTGAGCTGCTGTGAAAAAGAACCAAGTGGGGGCTAAGTGTAAAGGATATCATTGCTGAGACAAACATTTCAAGAGATAGGAAGAACAGAACAAAGAGAAGCCAAGAACAAAATAGTGACCTGGAAAACTAGATTGGGGGGCCTTCCCAGAAGGCAACACAAAGAAACAAAGAAATGAAAATAAAATAAATAAGATACGGAAGGTGATTGTAGAAGTGTTAACATCTGTCTAACAGAAGCCTTGAATGATGTTTTTAAACTAAATGTAGGGAAGAAATAAAGAATAACATGAAAAATTAAAGAACAATGTAAAACTTCACAGTACCTCTAGACCCAGTAGAATGAAATGTAAAAAATACCATAAGAAAGAGCAAACTGTAAAAACTTAATCTATAGAACAATAAGATTTAAACCTCTCAACAGAAACACTATATACAAGACTAAGGAAAAGTATCAAAAAAAAAATTTTTTTTTTTGAGAGGTTTTTGCTATAGGGCGTGTGCACTCACCAGACAGACAGAGAGAGACTGCGGGATGGCCATGGGACAGCCACACCGCAATCCCTTCTCCTCCATTCTCCTCTTGGGATCTTGGGCACACATGCACACGCGCCCAGCGTGAGTTTTAAGCCACCAGGTCTGGGATGCGAACCGCAGTCAACTACATAAGAGTCCAACGACATAACCATGACGCTAACTGCTGGTCTCTCAAATTTTTTTTCATTTGTCATATTTTTTTTACATATTTTAAATTTACATTTAATTTTAAAAGGAACGAACATACAAGGAAAATACTATAACCAGCTAAACTACTCTGAAGTTCCTAGAGTTTATATATATGAACACAAATACAAAAATTTAGAGGGCCCAGACAGTAGTGTGGCTGAAAAACATGTAAATTTAACTATTAAATGAACCTGGCAGCCATCAACCTAACCAATGGCCAGAGTTCACCCCAACATACACAGGACCAGCTGACACCACAGGCTGATCTCAGATACACTAAGGACACATTTCTGTGATGCTCCTTCCCAGAATGCAAAAGCCTACTTTAGGTGTGTGGAGCCATCGGAGAAATCCAGTGTGAGGGCCAGTCTACAAACAATTAGTCTATATGCCCCTGAGACACCATGGAAATCAGAGACAAAGTGGCTGAGGAGTCTTCTGCATTGGAGGGACCCAGGCAATTATGTGCTACAAGTCAATGTAACACTTGTTCCCGCCCAAAGAAAAAGAGAACTGCTACAAAGGACATTGTTGGGACAAGTGCCAAAACTTAAATATGGACCATGGGTTAGAAAACAGTACTACATCAGCATTAAACTTCCTGATTTTTACAACTAAATAAGTAAATAAATAAAAATTGGCAAAGCAAAGCCAAGACAGAAGAAGAAAGAAAATAATAAAGAACTGAAGGACACTTCAGGGGCCAGCAGGTGGCATGGTGGTTAAAGTCCTGGACACTCCCACATGGCTGACTATGGTTTTGAGGCTGGACCTGGTGGCTTGCTTTCTCACTTTCCTTTTCTCTCTGTGTGTGTCTCTCTCTGGTCAGATTTAAATACATGAATGAATAAATACAATTAAACAATAGTTCTTAAAAAAATAAATGAAGGATACTTCAAAAAGTTCATGGAAACCAGAATTAATATACAAGTTTATTTTAATAAAAAAAGTTTAAAATCATGCATAGTTTTCTCATAATTCATATTTTCCATTAACTTTTTGAAGAGCCCCTCATAAAACAGGACATATCAGCAAAGTCAAATATTATTTCTTTGAAAAGACTAATGAAATTGGTAAATATCTGGTGAAATTGATCAAATAAGAGAAAAGGAAAACTGAACAATGTCAGCAATGAAAAAGAAAATATCACCACTAAATTACAGACATTAAGAAGATCATAATGAAAAAAAATTTTTGAGAGGTGTTTTGCTATAGGGCACATACGCTAGCCAGAAAGAAAGAAACAGAGAAACAAAAAGCAAGAAATCATCCCCCAGGGGAGATGGCCATGCCGCAATCCCTTCTCCTCCATTCTCCTCTTGGGATCCTGGGCACGCATGCACACGCGCCTGACGCGTTCAAGCTACAGGGTCCAGGACCCGAACCATGGTAGACTACATAGGAGTCCAGCGACACAGCCATTTTACCAACTGCTGGTCCCAATTTTATGAAATTTTTAAAATACTGGATAAAACAGAAAATTGTCAAAGTAAATACAAGTTACCGAACTGATAGCAGATTTAAAGAATGAAAAGAAACTTCAATAATTTTATATCAAATAAAAAATTAATTTGTTGTTAAAAATCTTTCCACAAGGGAAATTCCAAGTCCAGATGTCTTCACCAATAAATTCAACCAAACATTTAGGAAGAAATAACACCTGACGGGAAAAAAAAAAAAAAAGAGCCCCTTCCATATAATAAAGAAGACATATATTAATACTTTCCAACTTATTTTATGAAGCTAGCATTATCTTGAGAGGAACATTGAAAAAGGACATTCAAAAAAAGGAAAATCTGTCTCATGAACAAACAAGTAGAAATATTAAACATTAGCAAACCAAGTCATGTATTGAAAGGCTAATCCTTACCTCCAAATTAGATTTATTCAAGAAATATAGGGTGATTAAATATTAGAGATGCAATCAATTTAAGTCACCACATTAATGGCAATATAAGAAAGCCATTTGATCAATTCTGCAAATCTCAATAAATCCAGAAAAGGTTTTTGATAAAATCCAACAATAATTTGAGATTAAAAACAAATAAATACTCTTAACAATTCAGGAGTAATCTGAAAAAGAGTATCTATAAAATTCCTTCAGCAAATATCTTGACTAAAGAGAAAATGATGAAAGCTTTCCATCTGAGATCAGAAATGTGACAAAGATGTCTGATATCACCACTTCCTCTCCATGTGTTATTAGAATCCTAGTCAGTGCAGTAAGTCAAGAAATGCGAGAAACAAGAGATGTAAATATTAAGAATTGGAACAATATATAACTGTCATTACTCAGAAATTACTGTGTACACAGTTTTTTTTTTTAATTACTAACTATTGGCGTTATCAATTGACTTTAGAAAGGTCACTGAATTCAAGATTAATATAAATTGGATATTAGTTTCTAACATGTAGACTACTATCCTAAATTTTTTCTTATTCATGTCTACTATAAAATGCTATCTTGGGCCAGCAGGTGGCATGGAGGTTAAAGTGGCTGGATTCAACATGGCCGATGCTACTGTTCAAGTCCCAGACCTGGTAGCTTGAAAATCACAGTGAGCACTTATGTATGCATGTCCAAAATCCTGAGAGGACAATGGAGGAGAAGGGACTGAAGTATTGTCATCTTCCCTGAGGGATGGTTTCTCACTTTCTTTCTCTCTCTCTCTCTCTCTCTCTCTCTCTCTCTCTCTCTCTCTCTCTGTCTCGCTCTCAGTCTGGTGAGCACATGCACCTGATAGCAAGCTAGAAAAAATATTTTATATTTTTACATCTTATTTACTTATTAAAAGGTCTTTTCCTGCTATAAAGAGTTCTGAGACAACATCACGTATTTCCACTTCATCTGTAACAACAGGTCCAGTTTGCAATATTCGCCTGTTTGAATCAGAAAGAGCTTCCAAGACAGCCAGAAACTGGGATGCAGTGTTGTCAAACATTTCCTCTAACAGTCGTTC